TTTCCTTTCCTTTCCTTTCCTTTCCTTTCCTTTCCTTTCCTTTCCTTCCCTTCCCTTCCCTTCCCTTCCCTTTCCTTTCCCTTCCCTTCCCTTCCTCCTTCTGTGTCCGTTTTTCTGTCCTTTTCTGTCTTTCTTATCTCTCTCTCTCTTTGTTTCCCTCTCTCATTCCTTAAGCTAATGTGCACCACTGTATCTTTTTTATAGATATCTAGAAGTTAATTATTTCTCTAAAGCAGACAGAATTATTTTTATTAAAGAAAATATCCTTGACATTTCAATAATCATTACATGACAGGTTTTGTTTTTTTTCTAAAAGGGAGATAATGATAGTTGAACAGCTTATTTTATCTGAACCTTAATTGAAGGTCAATAGGACTTATTAAAAGAGTGAGTCAATTCAGAATGGGATGGGGAAGTTTACTGCAGTGTGTTCAAGGATGAATAATTATTCCCTCCTTTAAAAATCAGATTTCTTCCCCACTCTCCTATTCAATTGTGTAGAAGGGTATCTGGACAGATAAGCATTAGAGAACGACTTGTTTACATTTATGACAAGACCAGTTCTTCCAAGGATCATGATAAATGGTGGAAGCATAGATAGAGAGAGGCGGTGAATCCTGTTTCCTGTTTCACTGCCTTTAGGGATGCCTTGCCCCCCACCCTCACTACTGTCACACATTCAGTATTCAGTTTAGCAATATTTGTGTCTGCTACCCAGCTTGCTATCTAACTGTGGAAAACTCTGGTGCTACTGAATGTTTTCTTCCAGCAGAAGTCCATTTCTCCCAAATGCAGTACTGAGGGAGAAACAGTGCTGGAAATGCTGGCAAACATGACCACTGAAAAAGTTTATTTTGGAGTCCAGGGTGTATTGTGTTGAGTAAATGCTGACAAATGGAGAAGAAGATAAAGACTTGAAACATATGCTTTAATGAACGGTGTCACCATCCTTTCCTTTTTTCTCCTCCAACGCAACAGTTCAGCCTTGTAGAACCCCAGGATAATGTTCAGATAACAAATTGCAAAAACCCAGAGTTATGTCTGTTCATTTGTGACCATATTTATTTCATTGGGGGTCAGGTGATTTTGCCATTCAACTCAAGCAATATAAATTGAGCAGAATCTTTTAAGAAAGCATCCATAGTTAGATATACAGTTTGCCTAGAAGATTGGGAGGCCATTTTGCTTTATGAAATGGAAGAATATTCCCACAATCATTTAATTACTTGAGAGCTATGGTATTCTGTTTAAGACCTCTGACAGCCAAGTATTATCAAGATATATGGGGATTGCTTACAGAATACACAGCCATCTTTAGCTGTGACATCTGGACATTACACATGTTAGTACATCAAAGATGCTAAGTTGGAAAAACCTTCCAAGTACATACATATTTTTTAAAATATATGTGTAATTTTTATTGAGAATTTTTCCATGGGTAAAAGACAAATCTAAAGAAAAAGGGGAGGGAAGGAGAAGGGAGAGAATACAAAATGAAAGTACAAAAAGTGAAGGAAGCTAAGAAAACTAAAGAAACAAAAATCAGAAATTGTGTTCCGGATATCTGGCTTTGAGTCCGTCTGTGAAACAAACATTTGTTCCTGACTCCCCATTCTTTCCCTTTATTCATGTTGGCATTATTTTTTTACTTGTTTTACCATAAATAAACAAGGAGTTTGCTATGATTTCACAT